TTTCCATTCTTGTCTAGTGATTGTTCTTCTACATATATATTGATTTTTAATGTATGCAGCCAATGAAAAAATTCCATCAATTCTAGTAGTTTTTATTAGTATCCCCTGGGTTTAATGAAATAGAAAACCACAAATAGAAGAAAGAATACAAAATGATTTTTTTTTAAACCAAAGACAAATAAAAACAGATGAGGCTCTCAGTTGATGGGGAAGTTTCTTGTGTGAGAACTATAGTTTGAATAGCAAAGTTCTAGATCAGTGATTCCCAAATTTTGCTGCACATTAGAATCGTCTGAAAAGCTCTTAAAAATTCCACAGCTTGAGGTAGGAGCCAGGAATTAGTAGTATTTAAGCAACTTCAGGTAATTCCAATGTGCAGCAAAGTTGTGAACAATTGTTCTAGCCCAGCATTGAGCAAACTATAGCCCATAAGTCAAATTTTGTATTTGTGTAAACAAAGTTTTTTTTCTTTTTTAAGTTGGAATCTCATTCTGTCTCCCACGCTGGAGTATAGTGGCACACTCACGGCCACTGCAGCCTCAACCTGCTGGGCTCAGGCGATCCTCCTGCCTCAGCTGTCCAAGTAACTAGAACTACAGGCATGCACCACCGTGCCCTTCTAATTTTTTGATTTATTGCAGAGATGAGGTCTTGCCAAGTTGCCTAGGCTGATCTCGAACCCCTGGACTCAAGCAATCCTCTTGCCTCAGCCTCCAAGTGCTGGGATTACAGGTGCGAGCCACTGTGCCCGACTTGTGTAAACAAAGTTTTATTGGAATATAGCCATGCTCATTTGTTTACATATTTTCTGTTGCTCCTTTCATGCTACAACAGCAGAATTGAGTAGTTGCAAAAGAGACCATATGGCTCACAAAGCCTAAAACATTTAGTATCTAGCCTTCTTTCGTAGAAAAAGAGAAAACTACAATGAAATATCATTTCACTCCAGTTGGGATGACTATTATAGAAAAGACAAAAAATAACAAATGCCAGCAAGGATGTAGAGAAAGAGGAACTCATATACCGTTGGTAGGAATGTAAATTAGTACAGTCACCATGGAAAACAGTATGGCGGTTACTCAGAAAACTAAAAACATAACTACCATATGATCCAGCAATCCCACTATCGGGTATATATCCAAAGGAAAGGAAATCACCATATCAGAGGGATTCCTGCACTTGAATGTTTATTGCAGCACTATTCACAATAGCCAAGATGTGAAATCAACCTAAGTGTCCATCAACAGATGAATGGATAAAGAAAATATGTGGTACATATATACAATGGAATACTATTTAACCATAAAAAAGAAGGAAATTCTGTCATTGTGGCAACATGAATGAGCTAGGAGAACAGAAAGATAAGTACTGGTTGGTTAATGGATACAAAGTACAGCTAGACAGGAGGAATAAGTTCTAGTGTTCTCTAGCACCATAGGGTGACTATAGTGAACAATTCATTTTACACTTTCAAATAGCTAGAAGAGCAGATTTTGAATGTTCCCAACACAAAATGTTTGTGATGATGGATATACTCAATTACCCTGATTTCATCATTATACATTATCTATGTGTATAGAAATATTACTATGGGCCGGGCACGGTAACCTATACCTATAATCCCAGCACTTTGGGAGGCTGAGGTGAGAGGATTGCCTGAACTCACGGGTTTTAGAATAGCCCAGGCACCTTCGTGAAACCTCATCTCTACAGTAAATCAAAAAATTAGCTGGGCGTGGTGGCACATGACTGTAGTTCCAGCTACTTGGAAGGCTAAGGAGGATCGATCGCCTGAACCCAGCAGGTCGAGGCTGCAGTGGCCGTGAGCAGTGTGCCACTGCACTCCACCCTGGGTGACAGAGTGAGAGTCCAACTCAAAAAAAAAAAAAAAAGAAATATTACTCTATACTCCATAAATATGTAGTTATTACAGAACAACTTTTTAAAAAGGATATAACAAAGAGGAATAGTCCCTTTGTCAGCTCTTTTGTGCAGGATTTTGCTAGAATTTATTGTTTCTAGAAGGCTCTTCTTTACTGAGAAGGCTACTAATCCCTTCCACTCCCCCAACCACCCCAACTCTCTGGCCATAGCCTAATGTGTTGGTTTTCTAAATCAATGCGATACCTGAAAAATTATAACTCCCAGGAAATTAATTCAACAGATATTTACTAAGCTTCTACTATGTGTCAGGCATGTGCGATCCTTTAGGGAAGAAAAAGGACAAAAGCCATGCCTCTGTGGAGTTTTTATTCTAGTGGGGTTAGGAGGAGTGAGGGACAGCATATAAATATATAAAACACACACGAAATTGAGGTAATGAGGTCTACCAGGAAAACTAAAGCAGGGAAGCCCTTGTGAGAAGGTGACATTTGAACAATGACCTGAAGGAGGTAACAAGAGACGTGAGGAAATCTGAGGGAAGAACTGCATTCCTGAGTGGTACATGCCTGGTGTGGCTGGAAAGCGACAGGCCAATGTGACTGGAGCACGGGGAACCAGGTGAGAGTATGGGAGGGGGTGTGGTTTGAGGGAACATTTGCCACCAGGTCACTTGGGCCATTGTAATGACTGTGGCAAGATGGGAAACCAGTGAGGAGTCTGAGTATCTCATAGTGATATGATCTGTTACATTTTGACAGGATCACTCTGGTTGCTGTGTTGAGAACAAACTGAAGAAAGCCAAGGACAGACCAAGGGATATCTCGGGAGCTTGTTGTAACATTCCAGACACAGATCATACTAGATTCGAACAAGAAAGTGGTAGTGGAGGTAGTAAAAATGGAAGCCTTGAGTTTGTTCTCATTCTAGTTTCTAATTAGTGTCAGTTCTTCTCAGATTCTGGCATTAGACAATTGTCTTGGTTTTGAGAGTTTTTCTTAATTTTCTGTTTTTGTGATTGTTAGATACCATTTTGAATTAGATATTATCCTGAAAATTCAATTGTATGTAATTATGATCCTATACTTAATGTGCTTAAAACATTGTAGATGCTTGGTAAATTCTTACGATGAATGTACCTTAAAGGGTTTGGGTAGAATGAGGTGGATTAGATTTATCTTCACAAGCCTAACTTTTCAGAGCCACATTTCTATTATCGCTTTTCCCCCATATGAGCATATACACCTACATGTTAGATTTTTATGTTCTTTAGGCTTAATTAGGAAATGGCAGGTAGACTTGTATTTAATTTTAATATAATTAATTTGAATATTTAATTATAACCTTAATCTGATATTGAATCTTTCACTTAAGGATATAAAAATAAATCAGAATATACTAGATATATTCTTAAGTTAAATTATTTCTCAGAAATTCATAAATAACTACAAGACAAGCTCATAAATTCACTGACACACATAAGCAAAATGAAGGAGATGAACTGACTCATGAAGAAAACTTAAAAGTTTGAAAACATAGCCAAGTTAGGTACAATTATTAAATTTTTATTTGCAAATAAGAGTTCTACTTAGAAAATATAAGGAAACAATTGAGAAGGTATTACAAACAACAAGGTAGTTTGGTACAAAATACAGAAATAGAGCTTGCGAATATAAATAACAACCAACTAGAAGATATAATGGAAGGAAACGAAACTTAAAATATCAAGAACAACAATAAATGATAAAACAAATAGGAATAAACTCACCTCTGCCTACACATTCAGAACATGGCTGGAGGAATTAACAAACAAAACAATAATAGCAAAACAGTGCCGAGGCTCCCTTCTAGAAGTTCTAACTCAGTTGGTATGAAGTGGGGTATAGGTAGTATTTTAAAAAGTCTTACCTTTAAAAAAATCTCTACAGAGAGACAGATCTATATGAAGAAAACTTAGAATACTATTGAGGAATATGAAAGACTTGAATAAAGGGAAAAACAAGCTACATTCTTTAGAATGACTATCATAAAGAATTAAATTCTTTCTAAAGTAGGCTCAAGCAATCCTTTTGCCTTGGCCTCCCAAAGTGCTGGGATTATAGACATGAGCTACTAAGCCTGGCCTGCAGTGACATTTTTAACTAATGTGACAAGAGACAGTTTACTTGATACAAGGTCAATTGGGGCCAGGCACAGTGGCTCATGCCTGTAATTCCACCACTTTTGGAGGTGGAGGCAGGAGGACTGCTTGAACCCAGGAGTTCCAAACCTGTCTGGGAAATACAGTGAGACTTTGTCTCTACAAAAAAAAAAAAAAAAAAAAAAAAAGCCAATCATGGTGGCGTGCACCTGTAGTCCCAGCTACACAGGAGACTGAGATGGGAGGATCACCTGAGGTCAAGGCTGCCACTGTACTCCAGCCTGGGTAACAGAGTGAGACTTCAACTCGGAAGGAAGGAAAGACGGAAGGAAGGGAGGGAGGGAGGAAGGAAGGACGGAAGGAAAGGGGCCAGTTGGGTAGGCATTTCAAAAAACAAACTAAAGATAGATCTCTAATATGTAATACATTCCAGCTGAGTCAAAGATCTAAGGATGAAAAATAAAACTCTAAAAGAAGAGTGGTGAGACCATTTTAACCATTCTAAATATGACACAAAATCTCAAAGCTACAAAAGCAAAGGTTCATGCATTTTACAATTAATATTATTAATTGACTGATCGTAGTTGTATATACTTATAGGGTACAATGATTCATAAATTTGATTACATGAAAATACAATTTTCTCCATGTCAAAAACACCAGGACAAAGTCAAAAGACAAATTAAAATGACAAACTGGAAAGGAAATATTTGCAGTATCTGTTACAGAGAGTTAATTTATTTTTATTTTGTTTTTCTTTATTTTAAAGATGTGGGGTATAATTCAGGGTTAGGCATACAAATGTTCTTCATGCAGGTACCCTTGTTGATGAGGTGTGCCCCTCCCTCCCCAGCAGCCTCCCCCAACTGCCAATTCGTCCCCACTCCCCCAGTTTCCCACTACTGCCAATCCCCTTCTTACAGTATTATGACAATTGTTCAAGGCCCACTTATGAGTGAGAACATATGGTACTCTGTTCTTTTTTTCTGTGATAGATCACTGAATATGATAGACTCTAAATCCATCAGAGAGCTAATTTCTAAAGCAAACCTGTACAGTAATAAAAACTAAAAACCAACAACCAATAGAAAAATGGGCAAAGAATAGAAATAGGGAAGGCCATGGAAAATCAAATTCCAGTGGCTGTTAAATATATGAAAAAGTAAAAGTGAAAAAAAAAAAAAACAAGATGCAGAACAATATGGTATGCTACCATTTGTGTGGAGGAGAAAGTATATATACGCTTGGTGGTATTAATGCACAGCCAGTCCCCAACAGATGCCTAAGAAGGTGGTTTTCGTTGTTGCTTCTTGAAAGGGGAACTGGAGGCAGGGTACTAGGAAAGTGGAGAGATTTCACGCTCACTGTTGACCGTTTTGTACCATTTGACGCCTTTACCTTGTGCATATATTACCCATTTAAAAAACAGTAATGAAATCAGCTATATCCAGGATCTTTGTCCCATCAAATACTCTACTCCCGTCAAATACAGCCAATTAGTGCCATAAAATACAAATAACTCATCAACCATCAAATACTCACACATAACTATTTTATGGTTCATAAGTAATCATTAAAATATTTAATATTCTCTATTATTCAGAGGAACATAACTGTTATATTACAGTATTTGCTTCCAACCTTTTGATACTTCCATTTAATTGTTGCAAGTTGGTACAAATAAGGTCTTAATAATAAGCACTTTTAAAAATACGTAATTTTATAAACATTTTTATTTTAAAACACAATACAGTCTCTAAAAGTAACCAAAAACTATTAATTATTAAAACAGTTTCATCTAAAATACATAATTATGATTTTTTATATATTTACATGTAGTTCCAGAACATTATTTCCTTATTTTTGTTCAAACTGTTTTTGGAATAGTGTTGGTTTTAAGCCACTGATCAACTGCACTTTCATACTTGCTTGGCTCTTTCTGCCAGTCCTGATGCCACCTGAGGTTTGCGATGACACTTGAATAGTTTTGTCCTATACTTTGTTTCCACTTGATAAACTGCTCTTTATTGTATTGATGGACAGAAGCAGAAACTATGGGGTAGTTTATAATGGAACGGAGTTTCTGATCCAAAGAATGAGTAAGTTCTGGAAATTTTACAGCAATATTTGTTAGTTCGTCTGGATCTGAGGAAAGATCTGAAAGAAAAAATTTAAATATCTGTTAATATGGTTACCTGCTAGAATTTTTTTAGAAAGTCATCATGACAGATAACGTATTGGAATGTTTATTTTCAGTTCTCCTTAGTGCAATAAAATGAAAGATAGTATAAATGGTGAAAAAACATACCAAAAGTTGAACACCCTTCAAGCTATGCCCAAATTATCCTCCTTCCTACCATTGTCCTGCTATCCGACTTAAAAAAAAATCGATTCTTAGATGCCACAAAAAGTCAAACATTTATTATTAGTAAGTGGTTTAGAACTAATTCTTTCTATTTGACATCCAAAGAGGAAAAAAAGTAATGCTTATATTGCTCTATTTCAACAGCCTCAAATCATGTTACTGTAACCTCACTTAATCCTAGTTTTCTATATATGAGCATCTTGTGCTTAGAATTTTGAAAGTTACATTCATCAATATTGTTCATTTGCATAACAAAAAACTCCCTAATTACCACCAGGGCAAAACAAAATACTCCCTAATTACCACCAGCAAAAATAAAATGATAAATATTTCACATCCATAAACATACTTTTTATTATGGCATAGGAAGACAGAGATGTAACTAGGGTGCCACTCTAATCGGAAAAAACAGCAAGTCAAAGATCTTGTGACAATTAACTTCAGATAGTAAATGAACACTGTATGTTGGGGGAAAAATCTCTGTGAACCTATTTGAGTGCATTAGCCAGGAGACCCTGGAGACGTGACTTTGCTAGGTGACTTCAGATGGCACCTCTTTAGGAAAGGGAGGTCAGTAACTAAAGCGTAGAGAATACAGAAAAGGCTGATTCCCCTCTCTGGTCCTTTGATAGCCGCATGTGTTTTGTAGAACATGGTGTTAAAAAACAAAATTTCAACAAATTTGAAGTCCTAACTGGCTTTTATTTAGTGATTAATGACTCAGGCACCATCCCATTTAAAGATACAGAAAAGACATTCCAATGAGTTGAGTAGAAGAGATGGGTTTTTTTGTTTTCGTTTTTGTTTTTGAGTTGGAGTTACTTTGTCACTTAGGCTGGAGTGCAGTGGCACATTCACGGTCACCCCAGCACCGACCTGCTGGGCTCTGATGATCCTTTCGCCTCAGCCTTCCAAGTAGCTGGAACTACAGGCACGCGCTATCACACCTGGCTAATTTTTGATTTATTGTAGAGACAAGATCTTGCCAAGTTGCCCGGGCTGGTCTCAAACCCACGGGCTCAGGCAATCCACTTGCCTCAGCCTCCCAAAGTGCTGGGACACAGGCTGAGCTACCAAGCCTAGCCGAGAGGTGGGTTGTATAGGCAGGAAAAGGTATGAAAGGCAGAAATAAGAACAAAAGCAGATTGATAGTTACAGAGTTACTTTCCTTATAAGGTAAAAACAGAGGGCACTCATCATGCTGGCTCAGGTAAACTGAGCCCCTTCTGACTTATTATTGTGACCCTCCTTTGTGTGTATGTGTGTGTGTGTGCGTGTGCGTGTGTGTGTGTGTGTGTGTGTGTGTGTTTGTGTGTGTTTTGAAACTGGCCTGTTTTAAAGTTCAGTTTGATTAGTATGAGGGAACCCATTCTTTTTTTTTTTTGAGTTGGAGTCTCACTCTGTCGCCCAGACTGGAGTGCAGTGGCCGCTCCCAGCCACCGCAGCCTCGACCTGCTGGGCTCCGGTGATCCTTCCGCCTCAGCCTTCCGAGTAGCCGGAATTACAGGCATGCGCTACCACGCCCAGCTGATTTTTTTGATTTATTGTAGAGATGAGGTCTCGCTGCCCAGGCGGGTCTCGAACCCGCAGGCTCAGGCAATCCACTCACCTCAGCCTCCCAAAGGCGCGGGATTACAGGCTGAGCCACCGAGCTCGGCTCCCATTCTTTTTTTATCTAGTCTGTTAGACTTAGTGTATAAACTCGGTTCAAAACAATGGCTTCCCATAAATTTCATTTGACAACGGCCAATGAATAAGCAAGAGGCACCCATTATTCATCAGGATGAACATTTAAGGACTTTCTTTCGAAGACGAGATTCTCCTGCTTTTAAAGTTAAGGGAGCTAGCCAGTCTGGTCCCTAAGTAATTATTTTCAGTTAATAATTTTGATATTTGTAACTGGGAAGAAAACTTTAGAAATAACTATTCACAACTATTAGTAATGGCTTTAGCACATATGGTATAAAATGAGGACAAAGGGTAAGTAAAGCCCTAAATCCAATAATGCTGTTTAAAAATTAATACTGCAGTGAGGCTGGCAGGCATTTTTATAGGGTAGAAGGAGCATTTTGGAGTCAGAAATGGGTTGAAATCTCAGTTCTGCTACTTCTTAGCTGTGAAACCTTGTAGAGGTATCTGGCTTTTTCTGAACCCTAGTCTCTTTCTCTATAAAATGAGATTAATGGTACTATCTTGTAGGGTCGTGGTGAACATTAAATACTATATGTAGGGTGTTAGGCTCCATAAGACAGGTGTTAATCCTTCAGAATGGGTGAAACCTAGGTGCAATGAGAAGGTGTTGACTACTGATTTGGAAAGATAATCATGAATATTACAAGATACCGTAATCAGAGAAAACAGTGGTTTCAGTCATGAGACCTAGATCAAAAGCCTTAGGGCACTTTCTCTGAAATTTAGCCACTGATTTGCAAGGAAGCTCTTCCTCACATGGACAACCATTTGTAAATTGCCCCAGCATGAGAAGGTACAGATACTCATTTATTTTACAGTGGTTATTGGATTACTTGAGCAATGCTATGTAGGGTAGTTCCTTACAAATAATATTACACTTAATATATCAACCCATTTACCAAAGAGTTGAGGCGCCACTGAAGTGCCATCCGCATAGGCTATGTACTTCCACTGATTGGTTCGAAGCATGTAGGCAGAAGCGTTCACATTACATCCATGGAATTCACTCAGAATCCAGGGCGGATGCAGGTTTTGGAATTTAAGTTCATTCTTAAATGCTTCTGATGATAATGGCAACAAAGAGTATCCACTCAGGTTCTGAGGCAAAGGAATTCCAGCAATGTCTACATAACAAAAACAACACAATCTTTGATTAGTTGAACATTCATAAATGACATCATTTACATTTTTCATACCATTAAAATCACAGAGACTAGAAACTGTACATGGATTTCTGACTAGATTTAAATGCTTACACCACTAGCCAGGTGACCTTGGGCAAGTTATTCACTTCTCTTAACCTCAGTTTTCTCATCTGTAAAAGAGCAATAATAGTAGTACTTGCATCTCATAGGTTCATTCTGGGTTTAAATAAGATAATTTATGTAAAATTATGAGAATGGTGCCAGGTACACAAAAGCCTTCAATAAATAACAGTTAATATCACTATTCTTTTTTTTTCTCTGAATGATTAAATATTCACAGTTGTTTCTCAACATTTGTTTCATGGGACATTAAAAACACGTTTGCAAGAAAGGGGTTTAGTAGTCATATGTTTGTAAAACAATGGTTAAATAAATTAAACAGGCAAATTTACTGTAGATGTAAACTTATCGCTGATGTGTGTTATAAAACTTCAAGAGTGGCATATAGTATACCATGTGTTCTAAAGTTATTTGATAACAGAGCTTTTTTTTTAATTCTCAAGTAACAACTTGAGGTACTAGTATTTTGTGAAACACACCTTGAGAAATCTTGGGTTAAACTGCTAACGGAAAGACATTTATTTTTAACTTATCAAATACAGACATATAGAATGATAGCATGAGAAATGTCCAACTTAAAAACAGGCTGCATTTTAAAAAACTGCTTTTCAAGTATCTGTTTGGAACTCAAACTGCCTTTTTCCTATAGAAAAATTACCACTCAGGGTAGTTCCAATATGAGTCTGCTGTTGCCTCCCTCACCGCTTTTCTGGTTTCATTGTTCCATGTTTTATGCATATTTAAATATTTCCAATGGAAAATAGAATTATATCTGCAATGTTAGAAATGAAACAAAATTTAATAAGAAAATTAATTTAACTTGACTATATTTGAGGAAAACCAGGCTAAAGGAGAATATGGAAGTAAACAAAGACCTCTATAAATCTTCTGAAGGTAGTTGTTTCACATATAACTTAATTTAAAAATGTGTATCTTTCATTTTCCCTAAGAGACATATCATAAGTACTCATTTTCTGACAGCCAATCATAATGAGGGACTTTGTGACTCACAAAGAAAGAATTTTAGAGATAATTGGTTATAAACAAAAGGGAAGGAGAGACATTAAAAAGGATGTGCATGCTGGGCGGGGTGGCTCATACCTGTAATCCCGGCACTTTGGAAGACAGGTTGAGGCTGTGGTGGCTGTGAGCATGCCACTGCACTCTAGCCTGGGCTACAGAGTGAGACTCCGACTCAAAAAAAAAAAAAAGGATGCGCATGACGGAAAGGGACTGTCCAGATGACACTAACTGTGCTCCAAGACAGTAGCACTCATTGTAAACAGAAAAGGAAAGAGTAGCAAGGGAAGAGGCTGCGTGAAGGGGGCCTGTGTGTCAGCTGTCAGGTGGCACCACCAGCCAGGCACTGGAGAGAAGACTTCGAGGATGTCTGGGCAGCAGGGACCAACCAGCAGAAACTCATGACTATGGGAAGTTCTTATATTCAGCATTTTAACAAACTTTATACTTAGAAATACTTTATCTCAGCCCTATTCTGAGTCTAATTTTTCCTAAAGAAGCTGGGAAAACTAAGAAAACTTACATTTCTCTTCGGTTTACATGCGAAGTGAGAGGTAAACTGAGATGATTCCATTTAAGTGTTCATTTTTTAATTCATTTAGCAAACCAGGAGCTGTTCCAGGTGTAGGTAAACATTGCACAAGCAGATAAGCTCTCCTGGAGCGAACATTCTAATGTGGGCAGACAGACAGACAAGTACATTGGATGGCAGTGAGTGTGATGAAGGAGAAAGCAAGGTGAGGGAGACAGAGCAATGGCAGACGTGTGCAAGTGCTGTTCTAGGCAGTGTTGTGGTCAGGGAAGGTGTCTCTGGTAAGGTCACATTTAGACAGAGTCCTGGGGCAGGGCTAGAGTGAGCCCTACAGATAACATATCTGGGGGAAGGCATTCCCTGAGGGGAACAGCAAGTGTCAGGCCCCAAGACACCAAGCAGCCCTGTCTGGTGGAGTAGAGTGAGTGAGAGGTAAAATTGTAGAATCTGTACTGGGGAGGGTTGGACTCCCAGGCCCAGTGAAAGACTTTGGATTTTGACTCTAGGTGAGATGCGAAATCAATGGAGGATTCTGTGCAGAAGTGTGGCACAGTCTGACACTGACTACAGGATGGCAAATTGACTAAAAGTGGGCAAGGCAGGTCAGGGAGAGTTAGGAAGCTACTGCAGAAGTCCAGGCAAGAGACAGTGGGGACTTAGGTTTCCAATCTATTATTGATAGAATAAAGTATCTTTGAAAATGGATACTGAAGAGTAAAACCCATGTCAAATATCCATATTAGTTAATAAACACTTCACTTATAAGTTTTTCTGTGGCTCAGAAAATTGGGCTTTCATTTCACATATATTTATCAATTTCCTTAAAAGCAGTTTAGGTTAGACTTCATTTCAAAAAGCCCTGTGTTTTTTTTTTAAACCATTTTTCATATTTATTTCTTTTGGCAAATCTGTCATTCTAATTCCATTTTAAGTCAGTTTCATCTTTCTTGGCAGATAAGTAAAGATCAGATAAGCAAGGTTCTTAATAAAGAGTGACAAATTTACAACAATAAACAAGTGGATAAAAATGCAGACTTGGACATGTGTGATGAAGAGAGATGATGATATTTCTTTCTTTTTTTTTTTTAGATTAGAAAATATAGCTTATTTAAAAGTAAATTCGAGAGAGAGAGAGAGAGAGAATGAGAGAGAGGAGATTCACCTCTCCAAAGTAGAGAAGGGGGCCAAAGCCAGAAAGCACGGTGACAGCCATAGCTCAAAGAGCACATGGCTACAACAGAGTCTAGCAAGGCAATGACTGAGAGATGATATTTCTTCCTGACCATATTAGTAGATAAGGGATTATTAGATTGGTATCGCAATGATGGAAACTTTACACATTTGTTAGAGGATACCTAAGAAGAATGAAACATGCTAATAACCGCATCTAATATTTAATTGTTTACCATGTTCCAGACATTGTTCTAAGCTGTGAAATAGTCACTATTATTTCCATTTTATTGATGAGAAATTATTGAAGACCAGAGATGTTAAGTAACTTGCCCAAGATCACACAGTTGAGGAGGGGTTTGAACTTAACCAGCCTAGAATCTCTGTTCTCTTTAATGCTACACCAGGCTAGGCACCGTGGCTCAAGCCTATATTCCCAGCACTTTGGGAAGCCAAGGCAAGAGGATTGCCTGACTCCAGGAGTTCAAGATCAGCCTGGGCAACTTGGCGAGACCTCATCTCTACAATAAATCAAAAAAATTAGCGGGGTGTGATGGCACGCTCCTGTAGTTCCAGCTACTTGGAAGGCTGAGGTGGAAGGATTGCCTGAGTCCAGTAGGCTGAGGCAGCGGTAGCCGTGAGTGTGCCACTACACTCCAGCCTGGGTGACAGACTCCAACTTGAAAAAAAAGAAAAAACAAAACAAAACTACACCATAAGCCTTGCTTTACTATAGTATTCAATTTCACAATATTTCTCAGCCAATAAAAACATAATATCTATGCAAAACATCTGCCCATCCCCAGCCTCCCACTAAGATCCTGTAACAAGTAGGATTTTGCAATTTAAATCACTAGCAATTACGTATTCTTTTAACTACAACAACATTTTTATATAATTACATTCTCACAATTTTAAAAACTCCTAGACTTATCTTTTAAATGAGAGGTAAGTGTTTTACAAAAATATCAACTATTAAAAGAAAAAATTTCACATAAAATTAAGTTTAAAAGTGAAAATAATAACAATTTTAATTTCAAAATGAAACTGCTTTTTATTTCTCATAATACTAAAGAAAGTAATTTGGGGGAGTAATTTTAAAAAAATAGTCTCTGAAATGATATCAGCTTAAATACTATAAAGAATTCCTATTCATAAAAATGCCACTTTTCTGCCAGTACTGTATTAGGAAATGATAATATGATAGCATACTATAAGGACCCATAAGGATAAATAAGCTAAGAATACTCTTCCCACTTTATCATAAAATATTTTTTAGAAAAGAAAGCACTCGTTTAACATACCTTTAAAAAAGTATTTGTAAATTCAAACTTTTAAAAATAAAAGTACTGTGGCATCTTAAATTTCAACAGCCTCCTGAGAGTAAGGTAGGTTTATTAAAACAGGACTCCCAATTGATTTTTCCTATTCATTATCTTTCTACTGATGGGCTTTTGAATCAGCATCTTTTATATGACATTTTTTAAGGTCCATAGAATGGAGGGGAAAAGGAAGTCTGGCTTGAGGCCTTGATTTGAGAGGTTTTTTTGTTGCTGTTGTTTTTTGACATCAGAAGTGTTTATTTCTGTTTCATAAATATTTCAGAGTTTTAATTTCATTTTATTTTCCAGAAAATGCAAATATCTTGTTTTAAAGCCCAACTATATTATGAGTAAAGTTCATCCTTGAAAAATCAATCTCAAAACAAATTTTTCTCTTTATATAATTTTTCTTTACAAGCTTATACTCTTTTTTTCATACATGGGATTCATGAAAAAAAAATATAGCTCCAGCTAAACTAATAAATGAAAGACGTTTAGAGTTCTAAGAATATATTATAGTTTATAACTATTTTAAACCCCCAATTGTTTAGAACAAAATAAGAAGTCCTTTGTAAGTACTTTATTCCAATATGTATAAGTTTATTTATTAAGCAGAGGTGAAACAGCATAGTGTCTCACAGGTCTAATTTTAATCACTAATAAAGTAGGTTTAAATTCTTCCAGCACTGAGGACTTTCATTTTAAAAGGCTGAATTAAACATCAGATTAAACATGGACCATCAGAATTATCTTTTGTTTTGTTGGCTGCTAAAGCTGTGAAACAAGGTAACAGCCTCAGCTTATGCCTGTTAATCCTGGTGTAATTGTTACTGGTACTCCTTAAAAAATTGAGCTGATTTGGATAGGAAATGAGATGAACAACCTCTCTCAAAAAACAAATAAAACAAAACAAAAACCGTGTTTGTAAAATCGTACAGTCTACATTTTCTTTTTAATAATATATGGAGGCTATGCTCACATATTTTACTTTTTAAAATAGAATTGACAATTTTTTATTCAATCCATTATTACTAGACATTCATACTGTTCCTAATTCCTTCTGAATTCTATAATAAATATCCACAGAGATAAATATTTGTGCATAGCTATAGTTTATTTCTTAAAATTGGAATTCCTAGGTCAAAAAGTATGCACACTTCTAAGAAATCTGAAACATAATGCCATAATTGCCTATAGAAAATTGGTCAGTTTATATTTTCAGTAGCAGTATATAGGAAGGCCTACTTCTAAGATTTTCTAATTTTTAATTTTTGCAAGTCCTATATGTGGAATTAAAAATGATATGTTCTTGTTTTAATATACTTATGACTACTGAGTTTGAATCTTTAAAAATATCTTGACCATTTGTATATCTTCTTTTGTGCATTGCTTGTTTCTCTCTTTTGGTCTGTTTTTATATAGGGTATTTCTCTTTTTCTTATAGATTTATAAGAGCTCTATGAATCTTAAGCCTTTATAATTTTTAAAAGGTTAATTTGGAAACAAATAATGCTGTTACAACATTGTTGCCTGGCTCCAACATAAGTTTCCTTTTCTTTTCTTTTTTTAAACTTATCTATTTATTTATTGTATAGACAGGGTCTTGCTATGTTGTCCTGCCTGGTCTCAAGCAATCTCCCCACACCTTGGCTTCCCAAAGTGCTGGGATTATAGATATGACCCACTGTGTCTGACCCAACTGTGAGGGTCTTGTTACACTATCTTCCTTTGCATCTTGCATCTTTCCCTTTCCGCTCTATCTCTGTTAACGTCTGGTTAATAGGATGCTCCAGCATAAAGACTCATCCATAGGTATTCTCCTCCATTTACTCTCCCTACTAATAAATCACTTAAATGTAGCTTTTCCCTTCTGAATAAAATGAATATTTATTATGAAGCACATTTTAAACTGATCTAAGCCTTGAATATGTGAATTTAATTTTTGGGTTAGAATTGGAGAGACACTTATTTTTGGCTTTACTTCCTTTACTCTTGTTGGGCAGGCCTACTTAACACATGATCTAAATGCTGTTGATAAAAATATATACTGCAGAGAAAAGTGGTTTAGAAGGAGTCTATTACCAAAAATCATGTAAAAAAAACTCTATAAAACCATGAGTTTTAGAAAATTTTAATAATTGACAAGTTGCAGAAAAAAACCTATAATTGCAGGGAAACTAAATCATGTCCAGAAGAGTAGGGATCAAATACAAAGGAATTTCTGGGAATGTTTTGCTCTTAAAGAAATTCTTATTGTCAAGTAACATAAACTAGGTCCCCCTCTAGGTAGAGACATTACAATTCCCCTATTCTAATCAACTTTATTTAATATTTTCTGATATGATCTGTTAGATAACTACATTATGAAATCTGTCATTTTTCAGATGACCTGTCAGTTTTATGATGTACAAAATGGCAAGAAGTGATAATAGTGTCTCAAAATTATAGAATACAAAATTTGCATTGTGGGTAAATATAAAGCAATGTTTAAAGAAAAATGACTTAAAACATATATGTTAATCAGCTAACATAAAAGGTGATATAATGTCTAGAAATAGAATAGGGCTCACTGTAAACCACTCCCTAAACATATTGGACTATTTATTTACTAGAATCAACAGACAAAATGCCAAATTTCACTATGAAATATATTAAGGGAAAAACTGACAAAGAATCACCCCAACTTTTCATAATCCTTTATAATACTTTTTGCAGATCTGGTCACTGTACCTTAAGAAACAAAACAAGGCTAAAAAGTTAAACAAATATGATAATCCAAAGAGGGTTTTCTTTGGGAATGGGGAGGGTGAGGAGAGTTCTACATGAGGAAAAATTACAGAAACTGTAAAGAAATACCACCATACATAAGCATATACACATAAAACTCTAGAGATGGTAATAAGAGACACACAAATACATATCATTACATATAAACCTCATAATATACAGAAATAAGGAAAAGTAATAGGGATTGGCTGGAAGTTGAGTGAGAAAGTGGCTGAGATGTGGCTAAGTGTGATAACTGCCTTGGGATAAAGGGAAGCCAGCAAATGGTGACTAAGAAGCTGCAGAGATTAAAAATTCCAAGAATAAGACAGAATTGTGTTCAAATATATAAGAAGTGATGTGATATAAAAGAAAAAAGGAAAGACCCCTATTGAAATTAAGTTGAAAAAATTTAGTTACATAAAAGGAAAGGCAAGCCGGGCTCGGTGGCTTAGCCTGTAATCCCGCGCCTTTGGGAGGCTGAGGTGAG